AAGACCCTAGCCAGTCATTTGAACCTGTGTCTAAGACCTCCGGATTAGTTAGTGGTGACACCCCCTTATGTGAACTCTAGCATTTAGAGGCTGCATTCATGGTGAAGAGACGTTAGGGATTGAGAGAATAAGCATGCGCATTTTTTGCATCAAATTGTCCTGACCCCACTGGTCGAGAGTGAGCGATTCAGTTTCTCATATTCTCTATACTCTTTACCCCGGTGAGGACCTAGATTGCTCGGTCTTAATTCTGATATCTTGAGCTTTGTGCATGAAGTGACTGTTTTGAACAAGTGATGGAGTCAAGTCTATGTTGGTTGGTGAACAGGAGAGAACTCTTCCCTTACTCGACTTTATTGCATTCGAATGCCATCTGTGGTGGTTGTCTAGGTTGTCGTTCGAGTTGCCATGTGTTGATAATCGAAAGCCAGTATGATCCACGTGTTTTGTGCCGATATGATTTGCCCTAAAGCCTGCTTGATTGAAATGTCTTGAGCTTACCTGGTGTCTGACTTGGTTTGCTTAGGGACAAGCAAACGGTTAAGTGTGGGGGAGTTTGATAACGATGTAATTGCATGATTTTATACCCCTATTTCTTATCCATTTGCGGAGCATAGTTGTGTGTTTTGGCCTATTTTACGCCGGGTTGTGCTACTTTGTCCTATTTCAGGTCCCAGGCGTCGAAGGGAAGGCCAAGCGCGAGTTTCGGAGCATTTGGAAGTCGTTTGGTCGAGCCACGACCAAAACACGGGCAGGAGGCCTTCAGAACACGGCCGTGTTCCTGGCCGTGTTTTTACTGCCGAGACTTCCCAACTCGTGAGCTACAACAGCTAAAAAACACGGGCGGGGTCAACCAGAACACGGCCGTGTCCCACACAGAACACGCTCGTGTTTTCCCAAGCCCGTGCCCGTGTAATTACCACGTGGCAGAGGGCACGGGCGGGCTGGACTAGAACACGGCCGTGCCCTCGACCGTGTTATGGCCAGTGATGCCCTATTAGGCAGATTTCAGCCAAAAAGAGAGGCGATTAGAGTTTTAGAGAGACAGAGCGATTCCTAGAGAGAGAAAGCGACGAACAAGAGTCTCTAAGTGCCCTAGCTTGATCTTCATCACCATTGGAGCTTGGCTTGAGCTTAGAGAAGTGCCGATCAACGTCAAGAAGCTGAAATCAATCCTTCACAGTATGGTTTCCGCATCTGATTCTGCTTTTGCTTCTTTCTCCACGGAGTAGTTCTCCCATTCATCTGGGTATGGAGAACCCTAGATCTGTATGTTAGGGTTGATTGTATGAATCCAAGTACTGTTTCTATGATTTGATTATATTCGATTGAGGTTTGAATGATTGAATGGCATGAATCCTGATCAAATTCCTGTTGTTTCTGCTTTAACCTAGAATGAGAATATCTGCCTAGGTTGATAGAGCATCCTTAATTGAAGGTAGTGAATTGGTGACTTTAGTCGAGGAGCCAATTCACTATTCTGTACTGAATTCAATTCGGTAGTGGAGGTTTGGTTCGTTAGGGCCTCAATCTGTTTACTCCGGTGGAGGTTAGTCGCCCGCTAGAGACTCAGATTGAGAGGGTCTGAAGACCTTTAGTCGGGACTTCAGACTGTTTGAGAACCTTCCGCAGTATAACTATCATAGAAATTGAACTTGGTAATTACAATCCGGCTTAACTGCAGACTAGGGGGAACCATATCCGGGTGACCTCTCTTAACCTGAAAACAACCGTTTAGTTGCTTTGCTTGCTTGTTAGTTTAGACCTTCACTAAAGTTTCATTGCTAGATAATACGAATTCACTGAGTAGTCATCACATCTAGGACCCGGGTTGACATTGAAACCTAAACCCACTATACCACGCTTTAGGAAGTGGTTTCACTTGGCCATTTTCTAGAGTGACAGTAGGAGTGAGTTAGAGACTCCAGTCTCACTAGTAGTCGTCCTTTTGATTTGTTATATTCGGATATCTGGGGCCCTGATCTTGTAACTTTTGTCGATGCATTTCAATATTATCTTGTTAACGTGGATCATTTTACCCATTATACATGGACATATCCCCTTTGTTTAAAATCTTATGTGTTGACCACCTTTCTTACCTTCAAACGTCTGGTTGAATTTTTTTTTTTGCCACTAGCATTCGCCGCCTGTATACGGATGGTGGTGGGGAGTTCATCAAACTCCGATAAACCCTTAGTGTCAGTGGTATCACCCACCTTCCTATACCTCCCTATTCCCTAAACACTAGAACACAATGGCCTTGCCGAGAGAAAACACCGTCATATTGTTGAAACCAGTCTCACTTTACTCCACTAGGCGTCTTTACCTTTCTCCTTCTGGTCCTATTTATTTGTCATTGCTACTTACCTCATCAATCGTCTCCACTCGTTCTTTCTTTGTGGTTGAGTACCTTTTATTGTCATCTTCAATGAAACCCCCCCCCCCCCAACTACACTAAATAATGTGTCTTTGGATGCCTTTGTTTTCCATGGCTTTGCCCCTATAGCTCCCATAAACTCAACCCTCATTCCAGTCCGTGTGTCTTTTTAGGTTACTCCCATCAACAGAGTGCCTACAAATGCTATGAACCTACCTCCCAATGTCTCTTTTGATCTTGGCATGTCGGCTTTGTTGAACATGAGTTTCCTGGTGCCTCTACCTAAGTGTCTACCCTTCCTCCTCAACCATTATCCTTATCATGGTTGGCTTCGTGTACTCTTGTTGTGTCGCAGGTTTCTCTCTAACCAGTGCTCAATGTGCCCCGGGCTACCCCTCTCCCTTGCTCCCCCATACTGGTCACTTCCTCAGCACCTAAATCGCCTCCACCAGTCGAGTCTCCATTAACTGCTCCGGCCACTGCATGCACTCCCAAACCATCTCATCCTATGGTCACAAGGAGTAAGAACAACATTGTCAAACCTAATCCTAAATATGTGCAGGTTGTGACAGCTTCGACGGAGACACCACCACTTGAGCCAACTTTTGTCAAAGAGGCGCTCCGCCATGATGCATGGAATCAAGCATTTCATGCGGAATTCAATTCCCTCCGCTCCAACAGATAGTGGGATTTCGTTCCCTGGTTGCATCACTACAACGTTATTGGTAATCAGTGGCTCCACCGCATCCAGCTCTTGCCGGATGTTAACATCGAGCTCTTCATGGCTCGATTGGTCGCTAAAGGGTTTCATCAAAGGCCTGGAGTCTACTTTGATGAAACTTTCAGCCCAATTCTTAAACCTGTCATGGTCTGAACTGTCTTCACGACAGCCCTATCTGACAGCTAGCCAATCTATCAGTTCAACGTCAACAATGCCTCTCTATAGGGGCCTCTTCAAGAAGAGGTTTGTATTGCGCAACCTCCTGGGTTCCGTGACACTTAATTCCCTCATCTGGGTTCACCAAGACCCACTTGGATGCTTTCTTGTTTGTGTACCGTCAAGATGGTGTGATGGCTTACTTTTTGAGGTATGTGGATGATCTCCTCCTCACTGGTAACAATCCCGAGCTCTTGACTATCACTTTGTGCGTCATCTAGTCCAAGCCCGCAAGCTTCTTGTGCGCTATCTCCCCACTGCATTGCAACTTGGCGATGTTCTTACTAAGTCATTACCGGCTACACGATATCTTTTGTTACGGTCCAAGATTGGGCTCGCTGACGCCGCCTCCATATTGCAGGGGCGTATTAAGGATAAATGTATATCCTTGTAGTATTTAGTTTCCTTGTTCATGTATAGTTTATTTTCCTTTTTATATGTGTAAACTTGTATATCTATGGGTATAAATACCCCTTCTATACATCAATACAAACACATCGTTCATATTCCTTACAAGATAGAGGAAGCGGAAGCAGGGTTTGGGAAGCAGCGGGATCGGAGATTAGGATTTCTATGTTCGGCGAAATAATTTCTCGCTCTGTTGGATAATAAGGTATTTGCATGCCTCGACTATTTTCTGCAGTGTTCTTGCCCATAACTGATAGCTTTAAGGCCACAATGGTGTGATATATGGCTGAAAAGAAAGAGAGGAAGAGATGGGAGAGAAAGTGTATGTGATTAGTAGAGGTAAGTTCACTTAATTTTTAGTTAAGAAACTAAGGGAGATAGTGAAGTAGAAGCGAGACGGGTGAGGTAAAGGGATTAGAGCAGAGCAGAAAGTAAAAGAATGTATCCGGGGATAAAAAAAAGAAACGAAGGATAGAAGAGAGATGGGTGAGAGCCAAATCCAAAACGATCGAAATTAGTTCATGATAAAGCACCAGAACGGGCCGTAATATACGCCCATAGGACATCTCCGTCACGTAACAAGGCGACATCACTACCATATATATATATATATATATATATATATATATATACGGTGGCTTCTACGGTATCCCGAGTGAAATCCAGGGTAATGCATACATTGAGTATGAAAACACTATCTACACGTCGAATTAGCAAAATCTTTGGGCTCCATACTATACCCTAACCCTTAATGAGTGAACCATAGGTCCTAATTATCTAAATCATTAACTATAAACCCTAAGATGGAGGATTCATTTTATTGCCTATATTTGGATGAATCATAGCCGTCGATTATTATTTCTAATTAATTGATCTTGGGGTATAAGATTTAGAGAACTAAGACCTATATTTTGATCTTTAAAGGTTAGAGTATAGTATCATGTCGAAAAGATCAACCAATTCAAGGTTTGAATAATGTTTTCATACTCAAGGTATGCGGTACCGCGAATTTCACCCGGGGTACCGTAGAACTCGCTAATGACTGGTATACTCTAGAAGTATACCATACTCCATGTGATATGACCGATAGATCTCCTTTTTTGAGCTCCAACCAATCGCAACGGTCAATTAATATTTTCTATTAAGTTGAACATCGGGTTTGAGTTTAGCGAACAGAGGCCTGGGGTTTATCGATTAGAGGTTAGGGTATAGTATCATGCCCTAAACTCGGTTTAATTCTTGGTCTAGATAGTAATATTTCGTTAAAAATACCTGGAGTATAGTATACTACAGGATTACACCAGTTTTACCATATATTTATAGGAACCGGATACATAGGCTAGCTTTACACAAACGACAACAAACAGATTGACCACACTTCTTATTCTTTTCCTTCCAGAAACTTACACAAAGTCCCTTCGGATACATTGAAGAAAAAGGGGAAAAATTCGAAACTTAAAACAACACAACACAACACAACTTATCCCAAAGAACAAGTGAAAGAGAAAAGTAGAACAAAACCAACCAAAGCTTCTTCCACCGATGGTGTCCATTTGATCACATGCTCACTTATTTATTAGTAATTACCATAATCCAAATTACTTACTAACATCCTCCAATTATTATACTAGACCCATGATCGCCATAAGGATTAGGAGGATGTAATTACGCTCAACCCTTCGCGGCTACCAACATTCGTCTCTTTTGTCGCATATTGAACGGCGACGCGTGGTGCCACTGAGAAATTGATTTATATGAGGACGACAGCCTTTGGAGGAGGAGGCATGTAGTCACGGAGATCCCACGACCCGTCATCCAGCTGGTACATCGCCTTATTCTTCACGGTCCACCATTTGGGCGGCACGTTGTACTTTTTCAGGAGAAGATCCCCTCCTTTGTTCAGCAACGCGATGTCTCGCTCCACCATGAGCTTAAACGGCATGATTCCGTTCCACCCCGCAACTCCATGCATGTAGAGCTCCAAGTTGTGTGGGTTGTCGATACAGTAAGGTGACACAATGAGGATGGAAATCTCCTTCCCGACCTCGACGAACCCAAATATCTTGGGCGGGAGGGAGGGGACCGGGTCGTAGAGGTTCCTGACCCGGAGTAGTCGAAGGTCCGTCAGTGCATTGAACATTTTGTAGAAGCCCGAGTTGCCGACAAGTGGGCTGGCATAGGCAAAGGCCGTGACCAGGCAACCGACGTTCGAATCCGTTGGTTTGTGGTAGTTGTTGGCCACGATGTCCGCCGCGTTTAGGGTTGCAAGGGCGGCGCCCAAGCTGTGTCCCACCACGGTTATGCTCGTTTCCTCGTCGCGGTATTTGTCCACCAGCCTTTTCACCTCTGCCAGGACCTGTATGTACATGAAGCAAATTAGGTTGGAGAGAGAGAGAGAGACCATAGGGTTTGAAACTTTTTAATTTTTTTGGCAGTAGTAAGTATAAGACTAGAGTCCAGAAGCAATTTACGTGTAACTTTTGGGTTATTGCATATTAAATATTGACGGGCGGGTGACCACATTACACAACAATCAATGATGAAAAAGTAGGTACAATACAATATGTAACACTACGAGTGTCAAGTCATAATGGTAATATTAAGCTCTGTTAAATTATTAGTCGTGTTGTATCTGGTCAGCGCGTAAATGGTTTAACTAGATAAAAACACCCAAAGAAGAAAAGGTTTCGTTAATTACCTGTTCCCTGGCACTGTTCTTGTTGTAGGTAGAATCAGGGTTGTTGTGAGTATAGACACCAAAGAACCCCTCATGGACCTTGGGATTATGAGTAGTCCGATAAACTTGGCCGACCGGAATTGCTCGGAAATCCGCATCTGCGAACCACTCCAGTTTGGTCTCAGTGCCCCTCCAGCAGACCAGGATGTCCCTCCTCCCCAAAACTGACTTCCCTTCCTCCGTGCTCACCGCCACGTACCCGATCCACGCAGACTGTCCGGGGAGGACCCAGTCTCCCAGCGGTAACTCCGAGTAGGCGTAGAAGAAGTTGGTGATCTGGTACTTGTACGGCTTCCCGTTCTGGAGGAAGACATGGGAGAAGAAATTTTCCGGGGGGTACCGGCTGAGCCCGTAGGCAGTGGACATGGTTTCCCCGTTGAATGCGTCGTACACAGACTGCAGCCGCTCCCCGTAGTGGATGAGGTACCGCCGGAAGTCGGCGTCGAGTGGATCCAACAGCCCGTCCCAGTGGTCCTCGCCGCTCAGTTTCTTCCAGTTGGCGGCGATGCTGCTCATTGCTCTTTCGGGTTGAGAATGACTGGAGACAGAGAATAGGTGCTAGTGTGTAGTAACTAGGCTTTGTTCCTTTGGTGTGACGAAGCAAGGGGGGATTTGCCAGGTTTATATAATTGAGGTCTAGCCTGAGGAATTTGGTCTCAATGGCTCATGTCAGCAGCTTGGATGCGGTCCAAGGCAAGCTCGCTCCCGGTTGTATACGTACTATGCATGTGGTGAAGTTTAATTTGATTATTCATTCGAGTATGCATGGTTTAGTCTTCCTTTACAAGTTAGGGCTTTGTGTGTCCATTTTCAGCTTACTGATGTGTTGTAGCTTGCAACGCAGTACTCCAATTAATTAGGGCAACAGTCCTTCGGTTGGTAATTTGCATTCATCAAGCATCGTAAAAAAAAAAATTCCCCATAAAATTAGCATCGTCAATTTAAATTGTACTATGCTGGAACCACGCTTTGCCGCGGGCTACTCAACCATTATATTGTTGTAGTTTCCTGTTGAGACTTAATTTCTTTTATGGCGATGTATTTAAGTTGAGAATTATTTATTTTTATATAGAAAAATGGAAATTGTGTATTTGATATGTGTAGACCTAGCCATGAATAATTGTTGAAAATGCTAACCCGGGTGAAAAAGAAAAACTCTGAAGAGAAGCAAAATGAATAAAAACTGGAACTCGCTTAAAATTTTACAACTTCAATCACATAGTGGAAAATGACGACCTTCTAATAAGTAGAACCATATATATCTTAATGTTTAATGTACTCGACGTTGAGCTGAAAAAGTTAGTGATTCATGGTTGAATTATTAATTCTATTGACCGTTGCTGAATTGTGTGTGGGCTCGTTCGTACTTGTCAATTAGAATACATAAAAATAGTATACTAATTAGGGTTAGACGAAGAAGGCAAAGCAAGAAATAAAGAAAGGGACATGGAAGACTAGTGAAAAATGAAACAAAAGAAGTAGATGATGGAAAGATTTTGTCCAATTCTTTTTGTTGGCCTTCATAACTACAGTCTATAGTCAACCCTTTTCTATTTATATTAACTCTTAGGTTATGATTGTTATTACTGTGTATTTTTTTAAAACATTGTTCTATTAAAATGTCATACAAAAATTTCGTACAGTATCAATATCTTAACGTACTCGTATTATATTTTACTACATATGTTGTCATGTCACCCAATAGAATGTTCTCTTAAAAAATGGTAATTAATATTTCAAATGGATGACAAACATATTTTTATGAAGTAAAAATGTCATCGAAAACCAAAATTGTTGAATCTTCCCATACAGTTGAGTGAAACAAAATCTTGTATGGTACACACTGAATTTATAATTTTATGTTATGGTGGACTGGATTCATGGATTGATTCAAATAGATTTGTGGATTGAATTCATGAATTCAAGAGAAATCTAAACATTGGATCAATAGGTAAATTTAAAAAATTGTAAATACAACAATATCATAAAATTTAGTTAGCAAACATAATTTTCTTATGATATTTTACATTAAAAATTAAAATCTCAGTAAAGTACTACACTTCTAAGCTATTAGTCTATAAGAGTAAATTGAACTCGATAGCCAATTAGGCCGCATATTAAAAAATGTGACTCTATGCAATAAATAAATAAATTTGAATAGTTGGAAAAATCACAAAGATTTTCAATTGATAAGGATTGAAAAATGGAAAATAGATTATCAAAATACACGTGATTGAAATACTAATGGTCATGCGACCTCTTGTTGAATATCCGGAAAACTCCAAAAGATTGTTAATCAATGAGAACTCGAAAATGAGAAATGCATCACCAATAAATATGTGATCCGAATATCTGGGATTAAACGACTTTTAGTTGAAACAATATAACGTAAGATTTGGAAAACTTATAAAGATCGTCAATCTATAATAATCGAAAATGGAAAACGCATCACTGATATACATATCATTCGTATATGAGTGATTGGTCTACTTTTGGTTGAATAGTGAAAAGACTTTTATTGATATATAAAAAGATAGATAATGTATCACTGATATATTCGTGATAAGAATATGCGTGATCGGTCGGCTTTCAGTTGAACAGACGAAAAACTTTAATATGAACATAGACGTCAATTTTAGGATAGCAATAACAAATTGATAAAGTAACATAAATAAAAAAATAAGATTACTCAAAGGTTCTATATGTAATTAAAATAAATGAAAAGAAACAGGAAAATGAGGTAAATATGTGTCAACAAAATGAAAAAAAAATGAAAATTATGCAAAAATATATAGCCTTAGCAAAGTGCCACCAAAGTTGATTGAGATTACAAAAAGCCCTTTTAATGAATAGCAAACCTTAAACTATGACTTTTATACAAGAATAAATATATAACACATGTTGAACTTGACCATGAGGATAAGGCTGGCAGTATTGATACTTAATGTCATACTCATGCAGCTATGCCTACCTGCGGGTCATACATAATAGTCTACTGGCTCAGGAAGACCTGCTTCCCAGGATCCCCACAGTAGCCCCCAGCACCGCCTCAAGATCTGGAGATGGGACCAGTTCTGGCATCAGACTCTATGTCGCCTGCCAGGCTCACTTCTTTTCCCGTACACGAGTTCTCCGTTGACACCGACGAGCAGACCAGTGATTGTGCGGTCTGTTTGGAGGACTACATGTCGGGTGACAGGTACTAGGAGCTCCCCACCTATGGGCACCACTTTAACGTGGCATGCCTCAGAGTGTGGCTGGAGTCCCACTCCACTTGCCCCTTCGGCCGCCAAACCGTCTGAGTAGCGTGGTCGCAATATATCAAATAGTTTGACCCGGATTAGTACCGGGGGATTTGTGTGGAACCTTGATCCGGACTCCCTCGTCTGATCTCCTCGGGAGTGGAAGAATCCTGTGGAGAGTCGGGGGCGGCCCCCGTGATCTACACTCCGACGCCCAAGTTAGAATAGGATATATGATAGAGTGTAGAGAATGTAGAGAGAGATAGGGTTTAGAGAGAGAACCATAAGTGATAAAGTGAGGGAAGGGAGAGAAGTTCCTTTGCTTGGAGGGTCTGGCCTCCTTATATAGGAGTCGGAGGCATCCATTGGACGCCTCCCGGTGGTGGACGCCTTCCGTCGATGGACGCCTCCCGGTGGTGGACGCCTTCCGTCGATGGACGCCTCCCGGTGGTGGACGCCCCCGGGTAGGCTGGACGCCTCCCGATGATGGACGCCCCCCGGTGTACTGGACCCTAGAATGGGCTTGGGCTCAAGGTGAGACGCTTTGTGGTGGGCTTGGGCCCGTATTAGGCGGGTTAATACTAGACCCAACATTTGCCCCTTTGCTTCTTGTATTCTGTAAGAATGGAAGGAGTAAAATAATGTGTTAAGGTGTATTAACTTGCCTTACTTGCGAGTCCGCACGATGCGGTTTTGCCCCTTGTGCGACCATTGCTCGATGATGGATTCCCCTGGTGATGGACGCCTCCCGGTGATGGACGCCTCCGGGTGACAGGATGCCTCCCAGTGATGGACGACCCCGAGTGGGCTGGACCTTGCGAGTCCAAACGATGCGGTTTGTCCCTTGTGCGACCATCATCTTTGCTTCTTTGTTTAGTATTCGATGTCTTGAGTTAGAGCTCTCAAGTCGTTTGAGATTTCCCCACTAGCCCATTGCGGAGCGTGCTAATATGTAGGCCGTAACGGTGAGCTGTATGAGTTAAGCTGTTGGACCGCGAGATGGGCATGAGCTTGTGTGCATTTTAAGCTTGAGTTGTTGGCTGAATATTAGAAGTTAGCTATGTGCTAGGGAGGGCGGCCCCCACGACTTGAGAGTTTTAACTCAAGGCGACGTCTGTGTTTTGAAGATGCCACACCTACTGGGAGGCGGGATCGTATTTCTTGCTATACCGATGTCGCGCCTACAGGGAGGCGGTTTCGAGCTTCTACGTAGAGGGGAAGCATTGCTCAGGAAGCGGGATGCGGTTTTACATCTGCGAAAGATGTGAGTGACTAGTGCCCCATATTTTTAGAGCACAAACATAAGCATAGCATGCGTGAAATATGTCATAGCATAGTGGAAATGAGTCTCTTCATAGCATGACATGGCATATGAGATATATTTTGTTTAGCATGATTTGTAATAAGCATCTTCATGGCATATGATATAAGATATATCTTGAAAGAGAGAACTTAGCTATAGGGGACGCAGTAGAGAACTGGATGAAATACAGACGGTCGAATTATGATTCACAGAATGTCTTGTAGTGCAGTGGTGTGTGCTCCACCTAGTACGAAGAGGATGCGGGTTCGATCCTCCATGGACGCCTTTCTAATATTATTTTTAAATTGAGCTCTTCACTCGTGGGCTTGCTGGACAGTGGACACTGATGTCATCAGTCGCGGAAGGCGGGCCGCGACTAATGGGCCGTGTTGGAGGCGGTCGTAGTCTTTTCTGCGGAGCGGCTGGGCTTGGCGGGGGGTCCACTTTGTCGAAATTGAGGAGGTGGGCCTGTGTTGCATGACAGAAGGATGTTCTTGGGCCGTCTTTCGGTAGGCGGGCTGGATTGGCATGACGGCGGGTTGTTCCGGGCCGCCTTGGAGGTGTAGCAGGCCTTGAACTGAGACGAAGCGGGCTTTTCTTGAGGTCTGATCTCTTATGCGGTTTCAACTTGGGCCGGAGGAGGCGGGCCTTGCATGGGCTCTGAAGGCGAGGCGGCTGACCATGTTGAGGTCTGTTCGGACGTGGCCGGGTTGAATGGACTTTTGATGCAGTGTGGGCCCAATTAAAGGGGACGCGGGTCTTGGTGGGCGGTTGGCGGGTCACGACTGCATGGGCCGTTGGTGGAGAGACTCTGTCGGGTCTTTGGCGGGACGCGAAACTCTGTGTTGAACGTTTATATGGGCTAGAGGCGGTCCTGGGCCCGATGTAGTCAGGCGGCCCAATTGTTAGGCGGGGCGAGTTGGGCCTAAAATGTTTTAAATACGAAGCATCCGCCAATATAGCAGACTTCTTCTTGTAGTCCACTGGTTAGCGGCTTTCCACTTGATTTTCAGGTGCTGGTTTTGAATCTCATCGCTGGC